AACTAGTTACTAGAGTGGCTCTTTTTCAATTCTAACAAATTCATACATTAATATAATGCAGCAAAAGTAAGTAAAATCAAACCTGAGGCTTTGACATTAATTATTGCAGTTATTTAACTCTATTGTATTTTAAAATATGAAAATTACAAAATATAGTGTATGAACACCTGAGGACTATTCAACTGGGTACAGTATCTTCATACAAACAATTTGAAAGAAGATCAAGTTTAAGGTAGAATCTTTTCTTATACCACATAAGTAATGACACAGATGAAGCCACTTTTTGAACCACATGTACCCAGTAAATAGTTGCATTTGTGTATAAAGTAAAATTGGTTTTCCAACAAGAAAATGTACATTCTTGCCCCAGTGAACATTTTGTTGACATTTATAACAAATGGCTAATACTATTAGCACCGATTCTCATAGCTTATAAACATATTTGTTATACAATAAAAACAACAAAATAATTAGTGTGTTTCCCTTGAAAGTTCTAATTTATAAAATAAAGCCCAAATTGGTAACTCAGAACTAACGTATCTTCCAAAGTTTAGTAGGATAAATGACTCAGAACTAAGCAAATTAATTAGAAACATTGCATAGGACAGAGAATTTCCCTGTATGGAAACCAATCTACAGATTGTTTCTTATCCCTTGAAGAGTAAGCCGAGAGGTACTAGTGATGGAAAATGATGCATTTATATTATACAGAATAAATAACCTTATTAATTAATATATGGTGCATCATTACCTCTGAGGTAGCACAAAGTACCATTTTAAATTCAGAAAGAAAAGCTTTACTTGTACATATATTTCAAGTTAGAATAAAATATAAAACATATAATAAAATTCTATATGAATAAATAAATACAATAAAATATGAATCTTTAAAAAAACTTGGACAAAGGTATTTTCAAAGAGAGATGTGAACAATGAATATGTAGTTAAATGCCCAAACTTAGCCAAAATACAGAAGTTTTAATAGGTACTTTCTTTTAAAAAAATAGTCTGACTCCATCCAAACCTCCCCCTGCAATACAATATCTCTTGCATAAAACCACCATTCTATCCTATAATTTATCCCCAAATGGGTAAAAACACTTTTTAAAAGTCTCTAGAAATCCAGGAGTGCAAGGGCTGCAGGGAAGCTTCCCCAAGGGTCTCAACTGCCTGCACAACTGAAGGGAGT